GAACCTCAGCTTCTAACAGTATAATTTCCTAAAATTAATTTGCCAGAGAATATCTTTTTCATATGAAACAGCCCTCACTACAATTTTCAAAAGAGGTACCATCCATACCTTACTGTGGTGAGGGGTAACACTTTCAGGGCAAACTTTAAAGAACATTCAGAGCACCCTGAACCTTATAGAGTAGTGCTTCTCACCCTTCCTAATGCTATAATCTTTAATACAGTTCCTCCTGTTGTGGTGACCCCCAATCATAAAATTATTTTGTTACTACTTCATAACTGTAATTTTCTACTGTTATAAATCATAATGTAAATATCTGATATGTAGGATATCTGATATGCAACCCCTGTGAAAGGGTATCCCACTGCCACACATGCCAAAGGGGTTGTGACCCACAGGTTGAGAACCACTGGTCTAGTGCCTCCTTGTCTTTCCCGCCTATATACAGATTTCTGTTACAAGTGAAAACCGGCATTAAGAACCAAACAGAATAGAATGGAGAATGATGCAAATTTTGGCCTAACAATTTTGCTTCTGCTTCTCTCATCTATTATCAGAGAACACATGGATCTTGAGGGCCAAGGTCCAGGAATTCAAAGTAAACGGAGCACTGGAAAGAAATATTGAATGTGAAAAATAGCTTTTTCATGTAGTTAAGGGTAAGCATTTTTCTAGCTATTCTCAACACTCATATTGAATCCTAAAAATGGCTTTTCTCTTGTAGTTAAGAGTAAGCATTTTTTTTCCAGCTATTCACTTCAAAATCACTTTAATAAGCCAAGGCTCTATAGGCTGGTACGGCTGCATCTCAAAAATGTATCTGGAATATTTTCCAGAATTATAAAAATTTTAAGATACACTGGAATAAAGGCACGGGTAAAACATTTACATTATTTTTACATGCATTATACTATATTTTACATGCATTATTTTAAAGGAAGTTAAAAATATTTTATAAATTCCCATCACAAAATATTTCATTTACAAATATGCCTTATCCAATTTTGTATTTTAAAATGTCTATTTTCTACCTCCTCATGATAAAAAATAAACTTACCTACAAATGATTTTTACTAATATGTTTCTTTCTTTCTTTAAATACATAGGAAACTTTTAATTGTGGTTCCTAATAAAGATGAGTTATTTCTGACTTTTATACTTGATTTTATGGAGTTATTCCTGAAAGCCAAATATTACAATCTGATACACACAATAAACATTTAAAGAACAAATAACATGGCTTTTATTTTATTTTATTTCATTTTTATTTTATTTTATTTTATTTTATTATGAAACAGGGTTTCTCTGCATAGCTCTGGCTGTCCTAGAACTCACTATTTAGAACAGGCTGTCCTCAAACTCAGAGATCCACCTGCCTCTGTCTCGCAAGTGCTGGGATTAAAAGCATGAGCTGCCACAAACAAACAAACAAACAAACACCCATACTTCTCATGTTAAACCCTGTCTCAAAGTGGGAGATGGCCCAGCAGTTAAGAGCAAGTACTGCTCTTGAAGAGGACCTGAGTTTAGTTGCCAGCCCCTCATCAGGTGGTTTATAACCTGACTCACACCATCAGTTCTAGGGAAATGCAACAACACTTTCGGGTGCAGGTACCTGCACTCACATGCACACACCTACCCCACATATACACGCGATTAAAAACAAGAAAATAAATCTTTTTAAAAATCCATATTTTTCTTCTTATAAATACCCTATAATTTTATCTGTAAATTGTATGCATTGCAACAAATTAAATATGCTGGCTCACTGTCTTGTTTATAACATCTGTTGGATTTTTATTATTTTAATCTTGAATGAGTCTAATATATATAATGACCATTTCCTGGTATTTTTATAAAGCTTCCTGGAATGTATTAATATAGTTAAATTAAAAGCCATTATGCTGACCTCCAAGTTTTTTAGTAAATCTGATAACAAAGCCCCGTTTTGCCTATTAAAGAAGATATACTCTGCAAATCCAATAGATTAAAATCCTAGCCTCAGCACTTTGTTTTTTTAAAAAATGTTTTAAAAGTAAATGCTAAATTTTTTTTCCCAGAAATTGTTGGATTGGTGATGGTGTAACCCAATTACTGATACTTCCATGTCCCCTTTCTTTTGCACGTATCTGCTTGAATAAGTTGCTTTCAAGTAAAGTAGCAAGGGTGATAATTAAGAGCCATTTGGTAAGTCTTGATAAAACCTTTTGTTATAACTTCCCAGAAAGGGAAAGAACAAATGATTCTAAGAGCTTAGTAACAAATCCCTTTGCACATCAGACCACCGCCAATCCATTCTTTGCAGATTTATCAGGCTGCCACTTGATAACAAATGAGACTGCTTTAATTACAACAACAATAAACTGTGTTCCTGAGCTAAAGAATTCAAGGAATTGTGCAATTTCACTTTAACTAACTCCTCCCATTCCCATCTGTACATTTGTGTGAACAAATATTTCAGTACTTACTAAAGCAAGGGAAATACAATTGAATTATTGCTATACCTTGCCTCAGTCTGGCAATGTTATGCTCACCCATAGATACATCCAAAAAATAAGAATATCCTATTCATCTTATTAAGAGAAATTACTGACCAAATTTAGTTTTATTTATTATTTCTTTTATGTATATGAGTACACTGTTGCTGTCTTCAGACACACCAGAAGAGGGCATCAGATCCCAATACAGATGGTTGTGAGCCACCATGTGGTTGCTGGGAATTGAACTCAGGACCTCTGGAAGAGCAGTCAGTGTTCTTTTTTTGTTTGTTTTGTTTTGTTTTTGTTTTTGAGACAGGGTTTCTCTATATAGCCCTGGCTGTTCTGGAACTCACTCTGTAAAACCAGGCTGGCCTCGAACTCAGAAATCCCCCTGCCTCTGCCTCCGAAGTGCTGGGATTAAAGGCGTGTGCCACTACCGCCCGGCGCAGTCAGTGTTCTTAACCTCTGATTCATCTCTCCAGTCCAAATTTATTTTTATGCTTAACAATCACTTATCAAAATGTGTAATGTGGTACTTGTGTTCGGATTTACATACCTATTTCTTCTTTAGAACTACGACAGAGGCAACTAAAAGATTTGCAAGCATTGAAGTATTGCACTAGGAAAATTATAGGCAAGAACGACTTTGAGGAGAAAAATGGAAATTTATAAAGTATTAGAAAAAATTAAGAGTTTGTTTTGTATTCTACAAATATATTATGGCACATTTCATAGTTTTTACATGCTGTTGGAGGCATGAAGTGACTGAAAAATAATGTTGTTTAATTAAGTTAATTAATTTAATTTTTTGGGATAGACGGGGTTTGCTGAGTAGCTCAAACTGGCCTGAAACTTGCTACCTACATAGTCCAGGCTAGCCTCAAAACCCATGATTCTCCTACCTTAACCTCCCAAATTCTTGGATTTTAGTTATATACTAGCATATCTGAGTACAATATTGTTTTAAAAATTCAGTGTTATAATTCTGGCTCCTGGTGTGGCATGCCACTACACCATTGTAAAAAGAAAGAAATGACTGAAAAAAATAAATATGCTTTCATACATTTATCAGAGAAATAAAGGCAAAGGGCAAACTGATATTAATGGGAGGAAGAAAAGTGAAGAAGGAGAAAGAAAAAGAAGGATAAGAGAGGGAAAGGAAGAGGGAGGGAAAGAGGAAGGAAGAGAAAGAGAATATGAACATATAGATTGTATACCACAACGTACTGAACCAGAAATCCACAGACAGAAACCTCTGAAAGTGCCAGTGGCCGCAAGATGTAAAGTGACAGCTTGCTGACGATCATGTGGACCCATGAGAGAGTTCAAAATTCTGGGCCACATAGTTAATTATGATGTACCCATACCAAACCTCCTCCAGGCTCAGATCATGTAAATAATTGAAACCCACATGCTGCTGAGGCCTTCCAAGGGCTCCAGTAGCCCAGAAGACTCCGGGTGCCAGTACTCAGTCTAGAGATGGGACAGAGAAGTGCGCAAAAAATAGTTTCTCCTTTGGGTCCCTTCGTATGACTTGTCTAGTAGCCACTGATTTTCTTGTCATTCTCAAAGAACTCCATTCAATAGTCACATGGTTAGTAGCCTTAGTAAAATCTGCAAGTTTCCCTCTGAAGTTTTCAGAAAGTAGTTTTAACACTTGCATAATATAATATTATACTAGACACTAGAATGTCCTGGCTGAACAGTTTTTCCCTCTTGGAGATCTCAAGGATTATTATAGTGCCTGGTGCAATGCAGGGCCATGGGAACTGATCACAATGGATGGATATGAAGCTCGTCACAATGAATGGATGTACTGCTTCTAGAGCTACAGAAATGACATGCAGATCTCCTCAGCCAAGTACTAGACTGTCACCAAAATTAGAATAGGTAAGCTTTCTAGAGGAGGAAAACACCAGACCATCTGTCTTTCCTTATTCTTAGGAAGTACATCAGTTCCTTCATTGTGAACCAAGATGGCCTGGATGTATAAACTCCCAGTTTTTTTTTTATCACACTGTACTTAGTTATACAAGCAATTAGGTCCATCTTATTAGCATGGCACTGTCCTAAGTGCTCCAGGTCACAGAAAAATAACATAGACAATGACCTGATGTACCATTAATCATCCTAAACTCCTTTAGTTCTCCAAGATTTGAAATCAGAGTAATATCGCTTTTTCCTTGATCCTCTAGAAAATTTTAGAAATGCAAATTGGATCATGTCACAAATAGCAGGAGAAAAGCATTAATGGAAAATATGAGGTGACTACCCTTGGTGGTATCATTAATCTGTCCCTCGCTCTCTTTTTCTCTGGTGCAGTGATACACAATTTCATGATGTAATTTCTCCTATGGTTTTAAATGTCACTTTAAATTTCAGGTATTGAACAAGTGAGGTGGTATGGGCTGAACTGGAAACATTAACAATGTCAGATTTTATTGATGGACATTTGAAAAGGGGTACTTTTCAGGAAGCATATTATAAGGAAGGTTCTGGACAAAGAAATGCACTTCTTACCTCCTACCAACAAGTAGCTATTGGGAAACAGTGTTTTTGCTTGCATAAGTGCCCTTGCGTGACCTGAGTGGAAGAGGTCGAATATTCCATCTGCATACACTCTAACAGGCCTGTCAACTGTGGAAGAAAGAGGCATAGTTAACACAACTACACAATAAAGAACCCCTATTACCTTCCATTAGAACATCACCACAAGTTTACCTACAGAAGACACAATATCTATATTATCAGTTTAACATCAGTGCATAAAATTGATTTTTAAAAACTAGACTCTTTGAAAGCTGTCAAAATACAACAAAAAAATTAAGAACACAACATACAGTGAGACAAACACGGAGCACTGGGTGTTCTCTTCACCCCGCTTAGAAGCTAGATGTCTGAACCAGTGATATCTACCTGCTACTGGGGAAAAAGAAGTTCCCTCTTGCCAAGCAGTGGTGGCACACGCCTTTAATCCCAGCACTTGGGAGGCAGAGGCAGGCGGATTTCTGAGTTCAAGGCCAGCCTGGTCTACAAAGTGAGCTCCAGGACAGCCAGGGCTCCACAGAGAAACCAAAAAAAAAAAAAAAAAAGTACCCTCTTAGAGTTTTTCATTTTGTTCATTAATGATTTTAAACATGGACTTGAAAGGAGAGCTGAGGACAATTTTAATCATTTAAGTGAAAATCCTGAGCTGAAGAAAGAGACCCCAAAGCATTCAGCCATGTGGCATGTGATCGTTTTGTTTTTAGGTCCCTTCCCCTCTCATTTGTTTGAGGGCTTTGTGTCATACAGACTCTGCTTCTTAGATGATGGCAGGGTAAGAGTGGGCTTCTAGTCTTCCTCTGCAAACTCTCTTTTTTCATGTTAAGTTTTTTAGATAGGATCTCACTATGTATCCCTGGCTGTCTTAGAGCTCATTATATAGACCAGGCTGGCCTTGAACTCAGATATGCCTGCCTCTGCCTCCTGAGTGCTGGGATAAAGTCATGTGCCACCACATGTAGCCATATGACAAGTTGGATATAGCGTTTAAAGTTACTCTTTATCACATGCTTAGGTGGGACCATGGGAAAAAAAAGCCTGAGTCCTGTTCTCAAAGACAGTGATGCTTTGGTGTCTATTCAGTGCTCAGACTGTGGTTCATTTTTCTTTCCAATTCCAAAGTTCATTGGTGACTGAAGTAAACTGTGATGGGAATGGTGTCACACCATAAATAGGGAAATGCTACAAAACAAGGCTCATTTCACCTTAGAAAGCACAATGTTTCCCAACATATCATTGTACAAGGCCACTCTGGGGTGCAAGATAAAAGTGGCATGTGACAGGCCCAAATAAGGAGGCAGTCAGTGTATCCGTTTTGTATACAGAGTTGGTGCTTAGGATTAGAAGCAATCAATTGGTCCTTTGGTTCTTTGTACTCTTGCAGAATGCTATTGCTGATCCAGATCAGATACCAATTTCCTTTGAATCAGAAGGGCATGCTGAGTGGTTGGGTTTCATCAATGTAGTTTATAAAGTGACCACAACATGGAGGGAGAGGGTTATTGTTCTTAATATCTTTATCCTGATAGCCAAGAAAAAGAAGAGGAGGAGAAGAAGAAAGAAGAAAGTGAGGAGGAAAAGAGGAGGAAGGAGAGGGAAGGAGAGGGAAGGAAAGGGAGGGAGGGAAGGAAGGAGAGAGAAGAGGGCAGGCATACATACCATGGTATAATCAAAGTCATCAGAGGATGACACTGAGAAATCTATTTACTCCTATTGGATTTTGGGGCTCACAGTCAGTCTACCATGTAATTGTGGCAAATAGTTTTACCTATGGAGCAATCTCACTAGCCTGGTGATTTTTTTAATAAACATAAAAATCATATTGGCTTTTAAAAATACATGCATGTATTATATTCACGCTATAAAACGAAATATTAAGGGAATAGGATATGTCCTCATGGTAGAGTTTCTACCTAGCATGCAACAAGGGCCTGAGTTCAGACTTCAGTGCCTCACACCAAAAAATGGGGAACTGAACTCAAAAGAGATCATTGCAAACTTCCATTAACTGATTTAGGATTTAAATTTAAAATTGTCATTAGTTATTGATGCAACCCGACCTCATTAATTTAGAACATAAAGAAATATCACATTAATAGATTCAGATGGTACAATCTTGCTAATAAATTAAATTTCTGCAATAAAAAAATCTAGAGATTTTATGTCAGACCGAGAACTGCAACTATTTTCAATTATATACTATTTTGAACAAACAGAATTGCTTTCACAGGATGATACTGTATTCTAAATAAGGCCCAGTAAACAGAAAATGCTCTGAAATAACAAACTGTCTAATGAGGGATCTTGGATTTCAATGCTCTTATTCAATTGCAATTCAATTGAGGAAAATTTGTCTTAAGATATAAATCCCACAAGAAAGCAGATGGCAGTTTTGTGGAAGTTTTTGTTAGCAATTCAGAGGTGATCAGGATAAATGAATTCAGGAAGCAGAGAGGAAGAAAAGTAAAGAAAGACGCCATAATTACTGGGGGAAAGGCCATTTAGTAAATTTCAAGACTATCTGTAGAGTTGATTTTGCAGTCAGATCACTTTTTAAAATTGTAATGTGTCAGCAACTTCCAGACTAGGAAACTCCTACAGGGCCCAAAGCAAAAAAGAGGAACCTGGTTTCTTGGTCTCTTCAAGGGATGGGGGAATGAAAAACGAGGGAAGGGGCAGAGAGGGGAGAGGAGGTAGGCAGGGAGAGATACTATGGATAGATAGACAGAGGTTAAAACACAGCAAATGATTACAGTGAAAGCGTTGTTTATCTGCTGTACCCACACACCTCCCACCCGCATCACAGGGCCTGAGCATGTTTTCAGTTAGTCCTGAGGCTCGCCAAGGACAGCCCTCACAGGGAAGGCCCTTGTACTGGATAAAGTAGGGGTATGGGGCAATAGAGAGTTTTTTTTTTTTTTTTTTTGGTTTTTCGAGATAGGGTTTCTCTGTGCAGCCTTGGCTGTCCTGGAACTCACTCTGTAGACCAGGCTAGCCTCGAACTCAGAAATCCGCCTGCCTCTGCCTCCCAAGTGCTGGGATTAAAGGCATGCGCCACCACCGCCCGGCAGCAATAGAGACTTGAAGTCCTAGCTCTACCCAGTTATGACACCAGTTCTCTAGTCTTCTGGGATTTTACACATGGAGAGATCCATGGCTCCGGCTGCATATGTGGCAGAGGATGGCCTTGTTGTATATAAGTGCGAGGACCTGCCCTTGGGCCTGACGGGGTTCGATGCCCCAGTGTAGGGGAATGCCAGGGCAGGAAGACTGGAGTGGGTGGGTGGGGAAGCACCCTCATAGAAGCAGGGCAGGGTGGGTGGGGTACGGGGTTTCCAAAGGGGAGATCAAGAAAGGGGAAAACATTTGAAATAGAAATAAAATATACAATAAAAAAGGAAGAAAAACATGCCACATTAAAAAAAAATGAGATAGGGCACATCCTGGCACTGAGACCTCAGCCGTCCTACTCAGCAGGTGCTCCCAGAGCAGCAGCATTACCTGAGAGGTTGTCACGAGTTGCAGCTTGTTGGGCCCCAGCCCATTCGGACAGAATCAGATATTCCAGTGGGGAGTTCCAGACATTTGTATGTCCACAGGTCCTCCTGGTGACTCTGATGCAGGCTCCAATGTAAGAAACCCTGCCACTTGCCAGCTAAAGGACCTTGTGCAGTGTTGTAACCTCTTTAAGCCTTCATTTCCTTATATGTGAAATACTGAAAGTCCTGCCCATGTTGAGTTGCGAAAGCAAAATGATAGGATACCCATAAAGACCTTAGGACCTTGTATGCATTGAGTAAATGCCTATCACCAGTAGTTGATACACTGTCCCTTACCCCATGGATTCCTTTAAGCTTTGGCTGTCTGCGTATTGCCGTGGCAGTACAAGCTCAGTCTGCATTACCATCAGAAATGCCTTAAATCTCAACTCACTCAACAAGTATTTTTTACTCCATCCCAACCAACTAGACTGATTCACATTTACCCCCAGACAGCTCTCTAGCTCTGTGCTTCCCGGCGCTGCTCCTATTCTACCCGTACAGAATAACTGTTTTCTATAGACATGGTCCAAAACTTCTCTCAACAGAACCAGCTATTTTCTGCACCCTGCCTTAAGTCTTGCCTGACCTCTCCGGGCCACATGAATGTGCCATTCTCTGAACTGTCACTTATTATCAGTGTTGAATGTGCATACATGTGCCTGTGGCTTTTACTTCATGTCTAACAGTCTTGCCCCTTTAATTATCATGAAAGCCCATGGGAAGCAGAAATGGTATTTTATACTTTCTTTTACATCTCTTCCCCACTGGTCCTCTGATATAAGCTAAAGGAATGGATGGAGGAATGCACTTCTAGAACAGAATCCAGTCTGTTTGAGGGCTCGCTTAAAACATAAAAATGAAGACATTTCAGAACAGTTACAATTATAGTGACTCAGTTCATCAACACCTTGAAAATGAAATTTTTAACAGAACCTGTCTGTCACAAAAGTCATGTGGAACAAGACAGTCTCCCTGTTTTGCAAATGAAAAAGATGAATCCGGCTCTTTGTCCTGAGTTGTCAGAATCTGTGGCTTAAGCATCTCCTGCATTTTTACTTTGGCAACTTGGATTTGTCCAAGTTATTGCTGGTGTAATTCCTTTTTTATAGTGGGGTCTTGCTCTGCAGCCCAGGTTGTCTTGAATTCACTATACAACCCATGCTGTTCCTGAATTCACAGCTGTCCTTCCGCTTCAGCCTCCTCAGCGCTGAGATTACAGCTGCAAGCCCTCACACTCAACTACTTCTCACTAGTAATGTCCTCCATTCTAGCACTGTGCTAAGATCACAAAATTCCACTCTGAAAGTAAGCACTGTTCACACAACGCTTTGGGATATCTTCAGAGATCGAGATAAAGCCCATTTGAGAAATGAGAACAACAGCCTCACCTGGTGTTCCTAAGCGGGCCTGAGCGATGGTCAGTTTTTCATGAGGTGCTTGGCACTGGCAGCTGGATTCATCGGCAAATGGGGCTGGTGCAGTCAGGGTCTAGAAGGGGAAAAAAGAGAAGAGAAATCCATTCTGATAAAGCTTTCTTCAGCACCATCCTCCTCGCTAAGTTTCCTGTTCCATAGGCAGGTACAATTAAGAAAAAAAGAGCAGGTTATGATGGCTCACACCTGTAGTCCCAGTGTTTAACTGAAGAGCCCAAGGCAGGAAGATGATAGTTAAGTTCCAGGCCAGCCTGAGCTATGGAGTAAGTTCCTCAGTGTTCCACAATGGCTCAGGCTTCAGAGAGTGAGACCCACGGGGCTAGCGGGAAGAGGTAGAATATATCTGCTGGGCCTGCCAAAGCAATATTGTACTCCTAGAAATAAAGCTTTGTCACAGTCCCTTCCCCCTCCTCTTTAACTGATGCATAAGGAATATTAAGAGCTAGTCAGCCATGGTGACTTACATGTGTAATCCTAACACTCAGGAGACTGAGACAGGAGGATGGAGAGTTCAAGGCCAGCCTGAGCTATAGAGTGAGACCCTGTCTTAAAAACTAAGAACAAATAAAATAAAAAAGAGAAAATAATAGATCTGTATGGTGTCTACCATATGCCAGGTGTTAGATGAGATGCTCTGGGGCTGCCGTCTCTTTCTGGCCTCCCAACACACTAAGCTGCGTACATATTCCTATCCTGCAGTAGGATACCATCATACTATGCCTATTTCACAGAAAAGGCAACCGAGGCTCAGTAAGATTAAGAAATATGCTAAGTCATGCCCTTGGAAAATCATAATGCCCAGCTTTGAGCATTTCCCAACCAACAAGGGCAGTCTTCAGATATTTAGACTCACCCACACCCGGGACACTCGGCTGAAAGGAACCTCATATTCAGAAGCGTGGCACGACATCTCCTGTAATTCACATACACACACCATACACACATACAAACACACACACCAGCCTGGCCAATCACAGATGCTGATGTCTCTTCAATGCAAAGGCCAAGGCTGATATCTGCATCGGAGAGAGCCTAAAAGCACAGCAATTCTGGCGGGCTGCAGATAACTGCTCCTGTGGTAGCTCCCCCAGCTACCAATGGCTAGAGGCCCCGCCCCAGGCAGCTTGGGCTGAGGCTCTGGGGAACGCTGTGAGAAAGATGTAGTCACTTGGAAGCCTGCCCAGGAAGTGGCCCTGCATTTTTTAGTCAGCCTCTTAAAATGAAAACCTCACTCTATCCAGACACAGGAAGACAAAGCGGGCGGTGTTTTTTGTAAACAGGGCAATCCAGAGTTGACCATTTGCAGTCTTTGAGCTATGTCATTACCACAGTCACCTCATTTTTTGTTTTTATTTTTGTTTTAAGCTAAGGTTCACTAGTCACTGCAAACATTACTCACAGTGCTGCATGAATTGTTTATTAGAGATAGAGACAGGTGGTATTTCTTAACTTGGAAAGATGTGACTGAGGAAGGACCTAGACATTTGAACAGGGGATGTGATTTACATGTGCCATTAATTTATTCATATTTCTTCAGTTATTTATTCACTCAAATCTACATCAGGTGCTATATGAAAATCTAAGGCTAGATGTAGGGCTAAAGCTAGCCCACTCCTTGGCTTTTTAATTATTTTTTAAGTCAGGGCCCTTGTTACATATTCCAAGCTGACCTTGACCTCAGAATCCTCCTACCTCATTCTCCCGAATGCTGGGTTAGTAGGCATGTACTATCATGCCTGGAAGTTAGTCCTTGCTCTTGACTAGACCATGTTCTCCAAGACACCATGTTCTCTACACTGACAAGAAGCAAACCCTGGCCCCATTCAGTGCTGTCTACTCTGAGGCAGGAATCCTGCTGCAGTTTTGTTTGGAGATCTCCTAGTTAGTTACCTGAGACTTCCATACCTCCCACCCTGTCCTTCAGGGCTCTCACAACAAACCAAGACTCTAGCGAAAAAGAATTGGGGGAACTCAACTCCACTTTTTGTTTTTGTTTTTTTCTCAGATACATTTTTCGCTCTAGTAGAGCAGAGAAATGTGTGTAACGTGGCAAAGGAGTACCATCTGTATTTGTAAGACTCCTGTTCAAATCTCCTTTGTAGCACTTGCTGAGTGTACACTTTAATTAGGCTCTTCTGGTTTAAAACATGCACTAAAGTTAGCTCTAGGGTGGGTGATGTATTTTGAGGCACAGTAAGTGGAGAAAGAGGAAATGGGCAGAGTGTGCCCTCAGCGTGCCAAGTGTTCTGCACCAACCTGTCTGTTTGCAGCATGTGTTTCTTTCTGTTCCATCCCCATCCCCTTACATCTTCTACCACAGTCAGGTCTCTGCTTGCTTCCCCTTCCTCAGAACTTCTGCTTATATGTGGCTCCACATGGCTTTCTCAAGTCTCCCTTCACAAGCTGCCTCTGAGGTTGCTTTGTTTGCTTGCTTGCTTGTATCGAGACAAAGTTTTGCCAGGTAGCCTAGGCTGACTTTGAACTCATGCTCTTCCTCAGTAGTAGAGTGTTTGCCTAGCACATACAAGGCCCTGGGTACCATCCCCAGTAAAACACACACACACACACACACAACCAAAAAAAAAGTTATAGAGTAGAATCTGTCTGGCTAAGGTCATATTTTCAAATCAGAATACAATCAGACTTGGCTAGAGCTGTGTCAGGTGCACTCTTGGGTCCTATGGCTGTGGCAGGGAAAGTCATGGGTGGCCCAATATCATCCCTTTAGCAGGAATTAGCTATACATGTGGTCAAAGAGTTATTTGACTTTATGTGATCCTAAGAGCAAGTTCTGTAAATGTATCTGGATTCAGTCTCATCTGTAAAAGGGGTAGCTATTTTATAGGATTGTTCTGAGAAACAGAGATTATATGTATGCTATACTTAGTAACGAATACATTGTACCTACAACTGCTATCCTTACTCTTTAGATCACACATAGCACTACCTATTATTGTAACATGATAAATAATGTAGTTCTCCATACAAACAAGAAAAATGACTCAGGAACGCACCTTAACAACACAATCCAAATTAGTAGAGTGGTTGCAAATGAAAGTGTCTTTGTATTTGTTTGTGTGTGTGTGTGTGTGCGCACACGTGCATGTGCGCTTATGCACATATCTGTGTGTGAATAAGCCTCATGTTTGTGGGTACCCATAGAAGCCAGAAGAGGGCAGCCAATCCCCTGCAGCTGGAGTTACAGGTAGTAGTGAGCTACCTGACACATGTACTAAGGACCAAACCTAGGTCTCCTAGCAGAGTAGCAAGTACTCTTAACTGTTGAGCCATCTCTCCAGACCCAAATGAAAATATCTGATACTAATGATTTCTTATCTGTTTCAGTTTTGTTGTTATTGTAAGGATTTTTAAAGATATAGTCTTAACATCATGCTAGCCTAGGTTAGCTGTAACTTGCTATTTATTCCAGGCTAACATGGAACTCTTCTTTAGTCTTCACATATTTGGATTTTACACAGTGGTTTCATTTGCATGTGTATATGAACAGTTAATCTTTATCAAATAATCTCAAATAAATGACTATGTAGAAATATTTTTATGTACTAGCCATAAAGCTTACTAGACAAAGTGTTGTCTTTTCATAAGGAAGATGTATTAAGAGGGTGTGAAAGCTGGCCTTTAAAACAGAGAGAAATTGTACTGAACGATGAAGATGGTTTTATGTGTGCTGTGCATTTTGCTGTTGATTCTCATGACCCAGAAGTAAGGAAATGGGAAGACTGAAGAGATGGAAAACAGACAGAACCCCCCAAGTGCATATGTGTGCTTGTGTGTGCAGCATGCACACAGATGGACATCTGTAACTGAAGTTGGCATGGGAAGGACTTATTTTTGTAATATAGAAAGCAATCATGCCTAGAACAGGGACAATGCAGAAGTGAGTGAGTTGAAGCCCTGTCTTCCAGAAGATTTCCTTTCAAAGTGATGCTGAATAGGCATATTGGGTTGAGCATTCAATGCTATGTTGTAACAAAGAGATGGATCAGTAGGTAAAGGTGCTTTCCATGCAAGCCCAGCGACCCAAGTTCAGTTCCTAGAACCCTAAAGGCACAAGGAGAGATCAGACTCCCTTTAGAGAGAAAAAAAAAAATCATTTAATGTCTAAGGAATATATGCTCATTAGGTTCTGTTTTCTCTACAGACAGGCAATGGGTTCACCTCAAAACAATACCTAGTGTCTCCTATGAGAAGAGAGGATGGGGCCAATCTGGCCTTTGACCTATCTAGATGTCTACAAGGGACCAAGGTCTCTACCTACTCCTCAACCTTTACCAAGGCCCAAATGCTTACTGGGATACTTTGATGTATTCTGGAGATAGGCCTTTTATTAAGACATGAAAGTGGGGGCCCAATAACACAGTATAACAACTAAGTCTTTGATTGTCTTCCCAGTGATACATATAAAATGTCAAATATATTTGCTCATTTAGTTTGCACAAGAACTCTGTAGTAAAGGTACAATGTCTAGCGAACTATGCAGGACCCATCTGCAATAGTGGTATCAATTGATGTCAAGAAGCCATAGCAGTGGTAAATCCTTTAGACTCAATTTTCTTTTTGGTTCCCTCTGAACTGAGTAAACATTCAAATTTTTAGACAAGATGAGGAAGAGAACACAGAAAGAAGATACTGAAATGCCTGATAATCCAGAAAGGGACACTCAAAACAATTAACTGAAGAAGTAAAAGCACGTGGCAGATATTTTCACCCTGACTTAGTGAAACATGTAGTCATTGGCAAGCCTCAAGCCTCAGCTTAGACTCTAAGACACCCAGATCACCTTTTCTAGTGTTTCTAGTACAAGCTACACAGTTAAGTGATGCTAAGATCTGGAAGGTAGGCAAGTAATGGAACAATTAAGAAAGGCAGGAAAGAGAGATGACTCTGGGGCAACAATCTACCAAAGTGAAGAGTGGCCCTTTCAGAACATGAAAAGATAGTAATTCAAAAGGCAAGCACAATTTCCAATCACTTCATACTTGTAACCAAAGACCCATTCTTCTCAATGTACAATTCATAGAAATCAAGTAACTA